AATATGTATGTATATGTTGTTCCAATGAAACAAATTATGAAGTAGGAATTATACTATAAGTCACCCATCTCAAAATTTTCAAAGATTATTTTCATCAACATGTAGATAGTTTGCTCGAGTGAGTAAGTTCTAGTTAGATGCTTGAGTTGGTGGTAGGGAATTAAATTATTTATTTCCTTGAATTTTTGCCTCAACTAGGTTTCAAGATGCGGAGGTTCGTTGATTTGGTCTTTTTGCATCGGTAGATCGAGTAGGTTATTAACCTTTGAATGAAAAATTTTAAATTGTGGGAGTGCTGCCTAGTTAGATTTTATGAGTTTGCTACATTAGGTTTTCTTGTCGTCCAGAACTAAGTTATCTAAGTGTTTATATATTTTGCAGCTAAAATGGACATCGGAATAAAACACAGTCCAACTCAAACCAATCATTCAGTTAAACCGAGATTACTAATTATTTTTGATATATTAATTCTCATTATAGTTCATAATTTTTAGTTTAGATTACGTGCAATATGTCGTCTTTAATGTTGTTAATAACGTCGATGTTATTATAATATTTTCGATAACAAACATTATAAATCATAAACAACTTTGTTACTTATAATAAATGTTTAAATTTCATACCCTTCAAATATTGAAAGGGCAAGATTCTTACAAATCATTTAGCTTACTTTAGGTTTTATATATCAATATTGTATTATACGTATATATTATCACAAGCATTTTTAAGTTGTATTCTACGGTCGTGTGTGTATACATACATATTTTATATATATATATATATACACACACACCCAAATAAATAAACAAAAGTGTACTTCATCCCCCCTTTCTGCGTTGGAAGGGCAAGATTCTTAGAAATCATATTAATTAATCAACAACATGGTGTATTAGATTGATGAACTACTCGTAGAATAAATTAGATAACCAGAAATCTTCATATAAATAAGAAAAGATTTGGAGTTCGGATATAATATTAATGTGGGTCTGACTGAATCAACAAAAGATTGAATATTGTAATGTGTATGTGGGTATATATGTATATATATATATATATATATATACATATATTATAATATAGGACTGCCAAAGACAGGTCCTATCCCATCCCAAGCTGGCATATTCGCCATCTACTTACAGAAGGCATGGCTATTTAAAACTTCCAACAAATTGGGAGTTACAGAAAAAGAAAAAGCAACTTATAATATAATTATATATTTTCAGTACGTATACTGGGAAATTATAATATTGATGTACATAAATGTTTAAGACATAATCACATGGCAAGAAAAGAGCATGACAATGGGAATGTACATATACACATGTACACATGCATACACGAGCAATTATAATATTGGTCATGTATTTATAATTAATCAATATATATATATATATATATAGGTTGGAAGTACCAATATTTATTAGATTTTGTTATATTTTAAAATAATTACAAAGTATAATTTTAAAAAAAAATATGAAATATAAGTAATTAATAATCGATAAATTTTGATACAGTAATTATCTGAATTTTATTTTATAATAGAGATTTAATCATCGACTCTTGTTTAATGTAAAATTAATATAAATTACTTTATATTTAAAAAATTAAATAGTCAAAATTATAAAAAATTATTTTAAAATATATAGATAAATGATCCAGAGAGCAACAGTTGGATGGAGAAGACATGATCCAGAGAGCAAGGTCTGGGCCAACCTGAAAATAACAATACCAGCCAATAGGAAGAAAGAGATTGATCATATATATATACATGATATATCCTTTGAACTGTCTATATATGTTTATATGAATGTACGTATCTGTCTATACATATATAGCCCACCTTAATTACCTATGCTGCTGCCACTGGAATTTTGCGTACATCAATTTAGCAATTTAATTTATTATCTCCTTGGTAACTTCATCTGAGGTTGAAAATGGAGATAAGTTGTACGTATATATATATATATATAGATATAACTTATCTCCAACAACATCAAATCACATGTCAAGCCCTGACATTGCAGATATCATTGGTGGCGAAGATATATAGATTAGGTGCTATCTGCACAGTGCCTGCAGCCTCCATCATACATTCATGTATACTCATTTATCCATACGTGCGTGTATATATGATATACATGTACATATATATATATATAATTACGCCTTAAACTAGGTCCACGATAAAGAATCAATAATAATTACGCCTGGTAATGATGTTGATTAGTATTTCCCTGTCTAGCTAGGCTAATATTTATATATATATGTATACGTACATGATCTAGTTACAATGTTTATATATGTTTTACGAAGCTACAGTACATATATATATATATATATATCAATTAAAGTTGATTCCAATATTGGTAATGCATGGAAATGCAATGATGAGATGAAGGGCAGTAAATTCAGAAGTAAGTGATTGAATTATGGGTGTGATGATTGCTGTGTCCTACAAGCAGTAGTGGGAAGGGTCAGAGTGCCCCACAAAGTGCACCAAATGTGATTGCAGATCTTCAGCTCCCTTGGCTTTTATGTCCCTCAAAACCCTAAACTCTCATTAGTATAGGGTATATATATATATATATGCGCCTCTGCATGTGTGTGTATATATATATATATATATATATATAGAGAGAGAGAGAGAGAGCAAAAGGGAAGTTGCAATGAAATTCCATTACCCCAACTACTAAATATTCTGATACAGTTTCAATCAGTTTATAAAGAAGCATATAATCCAGGCACCATTTTGGAAACACACGACATCACATGCAAACCCACAAAAATTAAAAATAAAATAAAATAAATAATTTTAAAATAATATTTAATAATAAATATAAACCAACATTATAAATATCTAACATTAAATATTTATTTTTAAATTAATTAAATTAAAATTAAATTTTTTTTAATTATATACAATAAACGAAACGAAATAAATATAGAGAAAATTATCAG